GGTACTCTAGGCCCGTTATGCATAGTCCTGGGGTACTCTAGGCCCGTTATGCATAGTCCTGTTTGGGCGTTGGGCCCGCTGGGCCTATTCCAACATTACTCCCCCCTCAGCGTTCGGTTGACGAACTGGGACGTGTGTTGGGCCTACTCCATTCCAGACGGGTTTAACAGCTTGCAGCCGACCTCGACAAGGGGCGAGCTGAAAGGTAAAACGAAAAGGGGCGGGCTCGCGAGCTTGAGATCGTGTGGGCGAGCTGGTATTCACGGCCACATTAGTGTGGGCCGGTCATGGCGGCGAGCTGAAGTGATTGGCAATAGGCGAGCTCGCTCGGGGACCATCCCTGCATGGAACGCCCGAGCAGCTCGTATTTGTGGCGACCTGAGCTTGAAGCACTACCGAAGTGCGACCAGGAGGTGTGACCTGACCTTTAGGGCGATCTGGGGTAGCCGTTGATTTACGTAAGAGTTTGTGACCCGTGCGAGCTGCAATCCGTGTATCGACCTGTCAAATGTGGCTGCCGCCACAACGTGTGACGAGCTGGGTCTTGGGGGAATTTCAGCAAAAGATCCACACTTTTGAACGAATTGTCACGGGTGGGCCGATCTGGCGTAATGTCGTGTTTGTAACGACCGGGTAGGTGTGCTCGCTATGGCGAGCTGATGTGGCAGTACAAGGTACACATCAGCATTGACGATCTGAATCTTTGGGATTTTTTGAATCAAACAGATCTCTGAGGAGATACGGTTGATCTCCCCGTATCCCTTTGTCTTCCCCGTCATAAATGCTGGCTCAGCATTTGAGGGACGTGACAGCTAAGGGCGGCGCAAGTTATGCAGAAGGGGCGTTAAGCGTGCGCCACGTGTATGACGCGAATTGGCGCGTCAGAAACACGCGTACGGCAATTAACACTCCCATATCCTTTTCTGCGTAACCGTTTCCTCTTTCATTTTTGTTTCTGTGTCTGCCTAAGCTTTTCCAAATTCTCTGAAGCAGAACCGCCCCAGCTTGAAGAACCAGTACATCGAATCAACTCCACCTTCAGTTTCAGGTAAAAATGGTTTCATTAAGAGAAGTCACAGAGCAACGAGGTAACCAGGGCAGAGAAGGGGAAGAGGAAGGGGTATTGTCAGTGGAGCCTATCACAATGATAGTGCCGCCGGAGTT